AAGAACGATAATGTGGGTACGAGGTAGAAAACAGTATTATACTCTCAGAGCAAGTCCTTGAATCTTTCCTTGGAATATACGACATTTCAATGGCCTCACACCACCTGATCAGAATTGATTTTTTTACATTAATCAATTGCTATATAATTAATTTTTGCATACAGTATTTTAAATTTGCATATAAGGTATGCGTCAGATTCAATTTTCCCGAATCCTGTGTGTGTCATGCTCACGAACTTTAGGCGTTATCTTTGTACTCAGCACGTTACAATTTTAATTTCTTCCATTCACGTTTTTTACTAAGCTACCATTCCATAAAAAAAACTTCCCTTCACGCTAGGAAAAGCTTGTTCACTACCAGAAATCTCTGCGTGAAAGATACAAAGTGTCACAATTGAAAAATCTTGTCATAGAGAATGATAACCATCGGCCCATGTATAGAAAATTATCAAAACTGGTCATGGACATATGCAGAGAAATGACATCCATTTTATTTTTTCTTCAAGATTCTAGACCTTTCTCACAAGGGTTTAAGTTTAATTGACGTAACCAATCTAAACTGCACCATTGTCTGACACCAAGACTCTTTTCAAATGCGTGCTAATTCGTGCTTGATATGGGACGCGCTGCTTTTTAACGCACTGTCTTTGAATGTTCGATCATGAGAGCTAATTCTTCTCCCGGGAAAACTTGGGGTACTTACTGAGTATCCTATCGTGAAGCATGAACGTTTCAAGGAGAATGCGTCACAAAAGAGACCAATAATTTCGAGACGGGAGGGGCCTTGGCTAAAACGTTGGACGAAAATTACAATCTTCCTGGCGGCCACTTTGGCGAAGTGCTGGGGTTACAGAATACCCATGTCAGATTCCCGTGACGGACTGCGACAGGCCGGGAGATTTCGGCTGTGGCGTCGTTGATAAGCCGCTGGCCCAAGACGTCGCAACGGACCAGCATTAGTGAAGGATTTCCTTCCGAGTATAGGCTGGTGGATTCTGGTGGTGCTGACGAGACCGATTTCCTGGATCCGTCGTGGCCCCGACTGCTTCTTCGTGTGTCGGATATCTGGGTCACGTTTGATGTTTCGGTGGCAAGCGATTCCCCGGGATATCCAACTGCCGCCGCGGTTGGAATTGCTACATCGACTTCGCTCTGCGGAGAATACGCGAAGTCCCCTCCCAAGTTCTACAGTCCCCCAAATTGACTAGACCCTCTGAGCATATCTTCTGTTTGATGACGACATTACTTGCTTTGCTGGATACCCGCACTTCAACGGAAGAAACTTCCCCACTTCGTAATTGATAGTAGCAATTGAAACATAGTTCAGACTCTAGGCACAGTATAAAACATTGCGAAGCCCTTAATTTGTTTACAGACGTGTCGGTCTGGAGAACTGCGACCAAGACCTGTGCAGCAACCATTAAGAATATCGCGGATTATTGAGATGAGTTGTAAAATCTGTGAAAATATAGTGTTCTGCGATTGCTCCTGATAAAAGTTATAATTATGTCAGCACTTCAACAAATGTGCTTGATGAGCAGTACTAAAACCAGAGTATCAAATTTCAAATGAAGGACATTTTACTTCCCAAAAAATTATGAAGTGAAGGGGTAGCAGATGCATATGCGTGCATAATCACGCAAACGACAGAATTTTACAAGAATATAATCATGAACCACGTACAGCATTGCCCCCCCCCCCCGGATGCAGGTATAATTTCATAACCCAGAATCATTATACTGCGTAGAGATAAAATGAAAGTAAAACTGGAATTAGGTCAGTCAGAGCCTTTTAAACACCACCCTCACCCTTCATATAACAATTAGGAATTTTTTAGTTAAGGGCTAGGCATTTGAAATGGAAGATACATTTACTTCATTATGGTTTTTTTTAAATTTACGATGAGAGAACCTTCAGAGAAAACGTCTCCGGAATCGGCACTCCTGATGCACAGGACATTCTACTAAAATCAAGTTCGTAATATCAAAGCGGGTTAGGGAAAATCGTTTAAATTTCGTAGAATCTAAAAACGAAGGCGGAGAAGAAGCATAAATTGTATAAATGGATGACGAAGTGTCGAGCTGAAGAAATAAACCCGATGTCCGGCCAGGACATGGTGTTTTCTCGCTCGTAACGATCCAGAACATTTCGCGATCATGGATCCCCGAGTAGAACCATTTCCTTCAATGTGCCTTCCGTGAATACCTCACATGAAAACCATATTCAGTACTGCACTGTACTTTACATGTAAATCCCGCCGAGGTACAATGAAACGGATCAGCGCACGTATCTCGGGGTAGTCAGTACAGGTCTGGAGATGGAAGCCCCACTTCCTCTGATCGCTCGCTCGGTCGAGCAAAAATCCTGTTCACATTTTGACACTCCCTCGCAAGAAAAAGCTTTTCTTGCGATAGTGATCCGTAATACTGTATTTCCACAGGGTTCACTGCCAGAGAGCCAAATAAATTCGAGGAAATTGGGCTTCCGTCCTAGTAGCTCCGTCGGGAAAGCCCGGCACGTTATCCCTGGCTGATCTTCGATCCTGTTCCGTGTCCTCCTTTGTTGTTCATCCTTTTTGGAACCCAGGATCTCTGGGTCTGCGAAGGATCATTTTGCTTTTGTGCCCGCGTGAATGCATTTTGTGATCCAATTAAAGAACGTGTTTTGCATCCATTTCTATAGTTAACTCGTCTGGAGCAAATTTAGCAGTGATACTATACTTGCACAGCATTTGGACATGAACTCGAATAAACATTATCAAATGTAGTTGAAATCATTGCCGAAGACTATCGTCGAGATGACTTTCCGAAGAAAGCTCACAGAAAAGCATCTGAATTGAAAATAATCATCCAGAAGTTCTAAAAAACATCGAATCGTTGGGTGACTATAAATGCATTTACCATTTATAACCCCAGCGACGATTAATCCTCGAATTTTGGAGATATTTTCAGATTTTTGCTTCCTCTTCGAAATTGATTTGTCCCGCTTCAGCCAGAAATTAACGGTAGTGCCGCGGAAGTAAACTATGCTACTGTTTTACGTCACAAAACATAATATCACGTCTCAAAACATCACCACTGTACATGATGTTCCACAGAAAAAAAGCTGCATTTTTCTGGAATGAAGGCTGGCTTAGAGAGGCTCGGTTTTCCTGCGGGGAAATGTTATAAAATATTTCGTCTGGTGAAGTGCCGGAAGCCCACAGCCTCGGTCCACCAACAAACATAAATTGTTGAATTCCCTCCCTTAAGAGTCGAGACGGAGTGCTTTTTCTCGAACGGGGAATGCTCCATTTCCGCCGCGAGCTTCTGGTGCACTCACGGGTGATAGATTAAACTTTGGAATTTTCGAACAGAAAGAACAACCACGTAAAGAGATTCTCTCGCGCTCTTTGACGCATTACTGGCATCCATGAAATAATTCATTCGAAGTGTCGCAAAAAAGCACCTGCGTTGAAGCTATGCTGCTGATCTGTAGAAATGCTACGGCCTGAATTAAAGGCAACGCGCGTCGACTGCATCACGTCGGGATGCGGTTCTTTCCATGACGTCGCTGCTCTCTCTTAAATTTATTTTGTGACTGACACATGAAATTCTGCGGTTTGAATTATCTTTCGTCCAGCGGAAGACAACAACTCTTCGGAAATATAATGGCAAAAATGGTGCCTCTCATGTGCTTCGCCGCTTGATTTGGTAGATTTTTCATATACTGTATGCTGAAAAATAACAGGCAATTAGTCGCGAATTTTGAAGATCGCACCCTGATTCGAAGTTTTCTTCGACTTAGTTGAAGTCAATTTACTAATTACCAAATCAGCCATCTGCACGTTCTGCAAGTGTGCGAGGTACAGCAGTTTCAGAATCGGCTTCATGATTATGAAGTCTGGGGAAGACATTTTATGAAAACGTAGCATTTTACTGGGAATGAGCAATTCCTCTTCAAAAATATCCACATGCATTTTAAAATGTTAACGAACTGATTCAATTATTTTCCGATTTTTTCGCTCGTTGACAATGTGGAAAAACTACCCACATCATCACTCAAGATAATAATGTGGGTAGTTTTTCGATGCTCATTGGCTACGAAATCTTGCTGGCAATCATTTTTAAAAATGTCAAGTTACGCGTGAATGGACCATGTGGAATAAATAGGTGGACGGGTCGCTGAAAATGTTTACAATGCGTATTGAAAATTAAAATTATCCCTCCGTTTGAGCTGAATATCTGGAGATGTCCAAAACTTTCATTTCCTTTCAAATAAACACATTCAGTCAGAAATCAGACGTCCGTCGTACGAGAAGCGAATGATTGAAGAGAAGACCGAAGTTAAGGGCTATTCGTCATGTAAAACACAATACGAGCAGACTATCGCGAAGTTTCAACGCGTTCTTTAGTCGGATTCTGCGAGAAGCATGTGTATTGACGTTTTTTTATTCGTTATGACCTGTCGGAAAATAATATATCTTCTTCGTGGCAACATTCCAGGTTAAAAACTCAATGTCGATCGGATGCTTCATTTTTTTCCAAAAAAAAATGCATCAGGCATTTATTCTTTATTATAGGTGGAGCGTGCTGCATTAAATATTGAGAATTCAATGTTCACAAAAAATGGAAGGGAGAAATTCGTCCACCTACCGAGAGCTTGAATTTAAATAAATTCGTTCGCTGTGATCGCGATGGTATAAGACAGAGCGTAAACATATAAAAATGCTATTTTGTGCTAAGTCTTGTTTTGATCCGCGAAGAACATCCATTTTCTATACGAATTGAAATGAATGCGTTTGCTGTGACCTCGATGGTATGAGGCAGAGCGTAAACACGTAAAAATACTATTTTGAGTAAAGTCTTGTTTTGATCTGCAAAGAACATCTATTTTCTGTATGAAAAGTCTGAACAGAACTGCGAAGCTCTTCAGAGGCATGGGCAATCTTCTCGGTATAATCCAAGCCTGTTTCACGGGGATTGCGCGACGGAGAAGGGAGGATTACTTCGCTTGCTGAGGGAAATTACCTTCGTTCCGGGTTTTTTGAGCTAATTGGATCTTTGCACATTTTTCCTCTTATTTTACAGCCCGAAAATCTACTTCTGGCGAGCAAGGCGAAAGGAGCAGCTGTGAAATTAGCAGACTTCGGCCTCGCTATCGAATTCCAAAACGACCAGTCCGCCTGGTTCGGTGAGTTGCTTGTCGATTTTGAGGATTAGCTGAGAAAACTTTCCGACGTAGCGGCTTCATAAAAATTCGGAAAAGTTCATGGGAAGTTCATCAGTTTCCCGCGTCTTCGAAGTTCCCCATGGTTTATGATTTCCCCCAGTACATGTTCGCATCTCGCAAGTAAACGAACCACGTCCATTGCTCCCCGAGGAGATATAACGTGATCCATGCTTCACTTGCGACTATATGAAGAAGCTGATTTGTGACTTTCCGACTTTACTCAATACGACGGTCTTCTGGCTTCCGCAGGGTGTCAGAAGAAAAGACGATCATTTCGCTAATCAATGCTTCATATTATCTATATTTAACAATTTTCCAACGCAGCAGCATCACAGAAGAATACCTGGGAAGTCTTTTTGTAATTTATTATACTCGTCAAACTTTACAGAAAGTAAAAAAAAAACTGCAAGTAAACGGAGTTTTATAACAAAAAATTCATTAAAAAACAATTTTCTTTTGATTCTTATGGTTCTGACAAAATCCAGTGGGAAACGGATTCAATGTTGATCAAGCAAAGTGATTCATCCGCTCGATGTGATCATGTCGAGTTATTAAAGCCTATTAAATATTTCAGCCGGTGCGGAAGGCGTCAATGATAGTTTTCGAAGAAAATTTTGTACCGACGAGAGGACCAACAGAATTTGACCAGCCTAAAATGTTGCAAGCTGTTATGCCATTACTAACGCATGGGAATTTTGACCAACTGCAATCCGTTTGGGGTAAAAATGAAGCTTTTTTTGCTCTGTGCACTGTGTTGATATTGTCGAGAAAAGCGGTCAGCATGAGGAGTAAAATATTGTAAATAATGCAAGGCATGCTCATCAAAATGTACCCTGCACTCAGATCAATGTCATGTTACCTGATGGACGTAACAAAAGGGACGCGCAAGTTTTGGAAAATGTAAGCCACGAAGTTTACTCAATTGGCTGCTGCATTTTCATTCCCATCAATTATTGCGACGAGGATTTCAGAAATTGGGGATTCGGAGTAATCGAACCGCAGTATTCTATATGCATCGGAGAGGGATTATCAAGGGTAGAACTTTGTAATTACTACGTCGCGTGCTGATACAAACTAAATCCACAATTCGATTACTTCAAGTTGCCTGAAGAGTTTAGAGGTGGTCTGCTGAATTTCTCGTGAATTGAAACCGGAACGCCTTTCCCAGTCATTGCATTTTTATTAACCGCAATTATTCCGATGGAGATTATGAAATTGAGGAAGTCGAGGGAATTGAGCCACGACGTTGTGCTTCCTGATGGACGCCTGAGTACCGCGGGAAGCAAACTACTGTACCTGCGTGCGCAGGTTGCCAGGGAAGCTTTATAGAGGACCTGCAGTTATGATCGAAGACGCGATTGTAAACATCATTAGCGGTGAAGGCGAGCCGTCTCTCTGGTTTACGACCACGTCGCTCGGCGCGGAAATTGAATCAGGCCTCGGCAGTCGATCATTTTTGAATCTGCAAAAGTTCCAGCGCGTGCTAGAACTCGAGTACCGCGTGGCAGTTTGAGACGTCTGTCGGTATGTGGAGAAAACCTCGGGTTCCTTCCAGAAAAGGAAGTCAATATGAAAATAATTCACCGGAGTTTCTGCGATGATATTACCCATGACTGACGAGGAATGACACAATGTGAGGTCCACCACGTGCATTTGATGCCTTACAAACGGACAACATAATCCTAACGTTGAAGATTCCACGCAAATGTGATCTTCATCTTGGAAGAGTTTAGCGTGGGAAGCACGTAGAAAAGTCCGCCAAAAAGGTGTAAAAGCTATGATGAGGGGCTTTATTAAAAGCTAGAAGACATTTTGAAGCACAGTGGACGCACAAGCGAACGTAACCGGAACCCCTATAAGCTTCAAACGAAGTAAGGGATATACCCGGGTCGATTCAGGGGTCACTAGCATTCATAGCAGAAGGCATGACCAATCCGCAAAAAAAATAGTTCGGTCGTGTTTCTCTCGAGAGAACCGTGACAAATCTTCATGAAAACGCAAGATTGCTGGCGTAGTTCGAGCTGGGGCTTCTACCTCGTATGTGACCGACATGCAGCACTTTCGTCTGCAGAAACTCGAATATATGTTCGGGTGAGTGTAGGGAATCGACGAACTGTCAAAACCGTCGCTCTTAGTCGTACTGCGAAGACGCACGTCTTGATTCTTATTAGGGAGATGCTCATACTTTTTGGCTTGCATGGGAAGATACCAATGTTGACGAAAAACAAATGATGGCTCGTTGAGAGCTACCTTTGCTGATTTAGACCAAAACCTGCTAATTTTCTTCTATGAAACGATTTATCAGTTTTATATAGACAGGAGCAGACGACGATACAGATTAGCTTATTTATGGCGATGGAAATGCAAGACGAGTAAGAAAATACATTTTTCATCTTTTTAGAATGCCCACCATGTTGTTTTAATATATTACAGAGCAGTATTTTTTCGCAGCTTATCAGCAGTAGGTCTCATAGTCAGAAGGATAAATTTACAAGTTAGGAATTGATTGTGTGCTATAACGAAGAAATAACCTTGTTTTGGATTGGAGAAGTGGATGAGTGGCAAAAGGATTCCAGTGAGTGAGAGGATTATAGACAAATGAGGAATTCGCTCTTTGCGTTAAAATGTAATACAGTACTATGTATCTCGTTTGAAAGCCGCATTTTCTGAGAGTTGAAGATCAGACTTTTTGGTTAGCGATGAGCGTAGTATCTCGTATTTACGCTGGTGCTCTAAGTAGTCCCACGGTTCATTTAATGAGCATTTTTATTTTCTTAGCAAACATAGCAAAAGTTGAAGCGAATGTTTGAAAATGACATCTATACTACGGTCTGCAGCTTTTGATGGTAACTTGAAAGTGAATTAATAAAATACTGTATATCGAATTTTTTGTTCGTCATGTGACGCTAATGTATCTTCAAATGCGTGCTGCATTCACAAGTTTTGAATCAATCGAAACCTCTGCTGCACTCTTTTTCGTCTGAAAGTATCCGTTTTAAATAGTCGAGTTGGGCCTAAAATTAACATTTATGGAAAAGTGAGTCGGCTTTGAAAGGGTTATTATTGCTTCAAGCTAATCTCGTTTGTCCACGTATTCATCTCAGTGGTTTCCGTGTATTTGTGAATATTTTAAAAGTATGATGGCTCTAATTTCCCCAATATTTCAATAGTTGGGGCTGGATGAAGGTATGTATACTTGGCTCTGCGTGGGTATGACCGAGCTCGTATGCTGTACCGAGTTCTTCTGGTCGATGATAACTCAACCAGGATTCCGCTTCCTTTCTCGAGGTCGCAAAATCTCGAGTGCACACTCTGAGCTGGGGTTATTGCCTGTTCGTGCTGATAATGTTACATGGCGAACTTATTATTTGGGATGTGCATGCTCCTACTCTCCCTTGAGATGGCCAATCACTTTTGTCACGCGTCTGGATCTCGAAGTTCCGGCTGAAGCATCATTTCTTGGGCTGCTGGTTCGATACGATGGATTCACTTAAATTTTTTGTGGAAGTGCTTTTCACCCGGAATAAACGGTTGGCTTTTGTCCTCCTCCCTCCTCCGAGATTAACTTTTGGCTGAGGAATGAAATCTAACTTCTTGATATTCTGCATAATTTAAGATGGACTTCATTGAATATGAGATGGGATCAAACGATAAATTCAAAGAACATCTCCAGATGTTCTAGCTTTAAAATGTCGAATGTTTTTGGACATTTTCCGGACTAGGGATTTAGGAAATGCTATTTTCACGAGTCGCTTTGATTGAAATTTAGCTTGATCATAAGTCTCGTGGTGTGATGTGAATATCAGAACAGCGGAGATGAAAAACGGATTAAATTTGAAATATTCCGATGCTGAGCCTAATATTTGAAATTGGATTTATCGATAACTAGGAAATTTTGGAAAATGGCACAGAGAAGAGGCGATTTGGCTGACGAACTATTGTATTTCTTCAAATCATTGATTTTTGTTCCGTTTTGCAGGAATGTGCGAACGATAAACTACATCTGGCTGATTGCTTGAAACATTATTCAACTTTTTGTATTGCTTAAAGGAAATACGAGTAACTAATAGAAGAAAGGCTGAAGAACACCGTGGCTGATGAATTCGTAGCTTTGTCTAGCAACTTTAAAAATGATGCTGCTGGTATAAGATGCTGGTCCCTATTTGTTTTATGAGTGAACACAATTTTCCTGGCAGTTCTAAAATGCTGCATACCCCACGCGAGATAATACTTAGAACTCCGAAATATTAAAATCTCGAGTTCGTGGATACTTCGATTTTAACTTGTGTTTTCTGTGGGTTTTGGAATTATAATTTCACAATAATAATTATTTTATTTGCACGATTGAAAACCTACGTTCTGGCCTGGGTCGTCACATTTTTGCCAATGTTCAATCACTGCCGAAAGGTTTCTTACCAACGTAAACCCATCTTTTTCCCCTCATTTTTTAAAACGGATCAAAATTTTACTCGCTTTTCTTGGCTGTTCCCTAATTGGAGAAGGTTCCTAAATTGCACGTTTAAAAATCAGTTTTTTGGGGCAATTGATGCTTCGCTTATGCTGTACTTCTATTAATAATTATAGTAGATTAAAAAATTAATCTAAAAAACCACGTTTTTCAACTAAGACTAAAAAGCACAAAAAAATTTAGTAGATTAAAAAATTAATCTAAAAAACCACGTTTTCAAAAAGCAAAAAATAACCTTAAACGTGGTGCGCATCTATTTCATTTGTATTTCACTTCTTCCAACAATCTCCATGCGCACCAGGTTTAAGGTTATTTTTTGCTTTTTGAAAACGTGGTTTTTTAGATTAATTTTTTAATCTACTAAATTTTTTTGTGCTTTTTAGTCTTACTTGAAAAACGTGGTTTTTTAGATTAATTTTTTAATCTACTATAATTATTTTATTCTTTTTAAAAAATATTCTTATAATTATTATTTTCACAAAAGATTGCATTG